AAGTGCGTCCCCGCCGCGCCCTGTTGCGGGGTCTCCCAGCCCGTCCCTGGGGTCGCTGCGCCCTCCTCACGGGGTCCCTGTGCCCTGTTGGAGGGTCTCCCAGCCCTTCTCTAGAGTCTCCGCGCTCCCCTCCCGGGGTCTCCGCGCCCTGTTGCGGGGTCTCCCGGCCCTTCCTTGGGGTCTCTGTGTACTGCTCCGGGGGCATCTCCGCGCTTCCATCCCGGGGTCTTCATGCTCTGTTCTTGGGGTCTCTGCGCCCTCCTTGGGGGAATCTCCCAGCCCTTCCCTGGGGTCTCCCCGCGCCCCTCCCGGGGTCCTCGCGCCCTTCCCTGGGGTTTCCGCGCACCCCTCCCGGGGTCCGCGCCCCACTTGGGGGCACTGGCACCCTGGTGCTCAGCACGCATGTACCCCAAAGCCCTCTGCTTTGTGTACAGCTCTCAATTTCCCTTGAGAACCTTCGTCCGGGCGGGTGAGGAGTGAGAACTTAACCAGCCCAGGCAAGACCTCCGATTCTGAATCAGCGGAGTTAGCAGTGAGAGTCATTCATGAGGATTAAGTCCGAAGAAGGTGAGTAATTTACTGGTTGGGGTGGGGCGGGGGGCGGGGACCCAGGATTCATTGAACTAAAAAGAGCTGTGCCCCGCCCTCCTGAACCTGGGGAATTAGGTGCCATCGGACTCCACTCAGGGCCCTTGGTGCGGGAGGGACCAGGACAGCTGCAGACCGACTTAGCCTGATAATGGCCCGGTCTGAAGTCATCCGCTTCCACAGACCGCGCAGCAGGGAACCAGAGCGGGGCGCTCCGCGCTCTGAGGAGATGGCAGACCTCTCTCCCCCTCTTCCTTTGCACCGTGCGAGGAGGTGGGGGGGAGGGCGGGGCGGTTAGGGTGAAGGACTCTGACGTGTCCGCTGCAGGTGGGGTGTCTCTGCTGAGTTTCCCCCAGTGTTACAGCAGTAACAGGGTCTCTGCTGGTCACCAGACGCTCACACCACACTGCAGACTTCTCAGCTGGAAAGTGTTCCTTTTACATCCATGCCCTGGAAAATAGACTGAAACGATTCAACTTCAAAAGCATGGCAGCTTTCAGCATGCTTTTTTTTTTTTTTTAAATAAAATTCCTTCCCCCCTCAGCTGGTAACTTAGAAATTGCCTTAAGAATTTTGTCATTGAGATGGTCTTGAGTATAATTTGTTCCACTCCAGCGGGTTGGTCCTGTGCGCTCCGGTTTCCTGTGTGTACCTGCTGAAGTACAGACACCATGGCAGGGTTCGTGAACCTCTGTGCGAAATGCGGAGCTTGAGCTCTAGAACCACACACGTGACCAGTATACCGAGATTTTCTTTCTGTTTCCCGTTAACCCTTTGTGTTTTTACGATAGATGGAGAAAAACAAGATTTCATTATTTCCCAAACGTTTCATCATCGCCAGATACTTTAAGATGAACTGCTCAGGCCCAATACACTTGTGGCGCATTCATTTTTCAGATTATCAATGGCCTCTTTTAATTATTTTTGCCTTATTCTTTGTTAAAATTACAGTCCCCATAGAATATGGTATGAATTCCAGGAGCACAGCGTAGTTATTTAACATGTCAGTGGCCTACTTTAAATCCTCGGGCGCTTTCTCTGCACCAGGGTGAAAGTTTGCGGTCTCTTCCTCCATACAGCCAAGCTGACGAGCTCTAGGGCTGTAAATTATTTTTAATGGTATCCAAAGTAAAATAAAATTGAGGGTAAGTTTTCTCAAGAAACATATCGTGCAGCCTGGAACACATTTGGAGGTATCCACCTGCCTGTTTTCACTGGCATGGTACAGATAGGAAACTGTTTCGCAGTCCTTTGTGTTTTTACAGGTAACAGCCATCTTACAAGGAAACCAGCGGTGTGTATGCTACTTTAGCAGCAAATCACAATCGAGTGGCAGCGGTCCGTCTGTTTGAACATGGGGGGACATCTTGATTTGTGTCATGGTGGAGTGAGCTTCCCCGTGGCTAATGTTCGAATGGAAACGGAAAGCAGAAAGGGCAGAAAGCGGCCCTGGCCCGCTCACAGCTCCGAGTTTCTCCCGCAGGAAGAAGTGCCCGGACAGGAGATCTGTGTCGTGTGACCTCACAGAAGACGGCGAGATGTCAGGCTCCTCACCGTTTCAGATGCGACTCGTTCATTTGGACCTGAAGGGAGCCCCGCCGAAGGTCTCGTACCTGTCAGAGGTAGGAGCCGCCTTCCACCTGCGGGTCACCTTCGCGTGGGTCCGGTCTTCACGTCGTGAGCGGTGTTCTGAAACGGGCACTTAGAGCCGCCACGGGGTCTGGGTGGGGTCACGGCACTGGCGGTGGCCGACGTTGCCTCCCAGAACGGACAGCAGCCAGGTCAGCAGAGGAAAACAGGAAGCGCAAAGGAAGCCCCCGACCTCTTCCTCGTGGGCTGATCTGCGTCCCTCAGAATGACACGTTGAAACCCTGTCCCCCGTGCCCGTGTGGGGGACGCAGCTCGGAAGTAGGGTCTTTGCAGATGCCGTCGGCATGAGATGAGGTCATTCGCGTCTTTAATTTACGGTCCGGTATTGATGACCCATCTGGTGAAGTATGGGCGGCTGATTTTTAGTCCCAAGCTGATGTCCTCCTTCCATCCGGCACGTCCCGGATTCTCGGGGAAAGGAAACTTTGAGAATACATCGACAAGAGTGTCACAAGTCACGTGAACTTACGACGGCCCTCACCTGGAGGTGCATCGCTGTTAGTGCCCACAGTGTGCCCTTTGTCACCCTGGCCGTGACAGCAGACTGGAAGGAGGTCCCAGCTGTGTATAGCAGACGTGACCTAGTCCTAGAAATCCTTGAGGATGGAAGTTCACGTCCTTTGAAGTAAAGATGGAATGGGGTGGGGGCCGGGCGAGGCCCCCGTGAGGTCGCAGGGAACAGCGTGGTCTCTGCCCTTTCACCTCTGCCACAGTTCCTCCCAGGCGCTCACCACCAACCTGCCAGAGCCCTGTAGGTCCCCCCAGCCCCCCCCGTCCCCAGCTAAGCCACCAGTTCGCTGCTGTTCAGAGACCACTCTGCTTTATGGCTGGCGGCCCCCGCCCCTCCGTCAGATGGGCGCATCCCTACGCTGGAGTTCGGTTTGTTGTAACACAGAACACACATTCCAGGGTAAACCTTTACGGCGGATACGAGCATCAGCTACCGTCCATGTCCATCACTAACAAAAAGTCCACGTGCGACACACGTCTCTTTCCGCTCAGGCGGCCCCTCCTTCATGACAGCCCCCTTTCCCGCAGATATTTCCTCTGTTCCGTGCCCTGGGTGCGAACGGCCTCCTCATCGAGTATGAGGACATGTTTCCATATGACGGTCCCCTGAGGCTGCTGAGGGCCCGGCATGCATACAGGTACCGTGCTGCCCTTGGGGGGCGGGCGGGGCCGGCAACAACCTCACAGCGCTGGGACGGTCCTCCTCCGGCTTCTTAAAGGCACGTCCCTTATAAAAATAAAACATGTTCCCTGAGAAGAGTTTGGGAACGTTTAAAAGAGAAAATAAGCCTGGACTTTGACCCCCACAAGGAGGAGCCGCGAACCCGGGGTAGGCGTGGAGTGCAACGGGGGCCCCCCGACTGGTGTCGCACCGTGGGTGGAGGGCTGCGCTGCGGGGTCCTCACGGGGATGTGAGGGTTCAAGGAGAGAGGCTCGGCCCCAGTGAAATCGGAGACGGGGCCCCAGGGCACCCCGCCTGGCTTTGAGACTGTGGCATCCCTGCAGATCAGTGATGCATAGCCCCAGAGAAGAACGGGCAAAGGACGTCAGCTAGCACATCTCCGAAGAAGAAATAAAAATGGCCGATAGAAATGAGCCTCTTATAGCAATAAATCAACAATGAAATGCCATCTCGGCTACCAGATTGGTAAACCTTTAAAAACTGTAATGCCCCGCCTTTGTGAGGGTGAGGAGAAGCAGACCTCCCGCTGGTGGCCGGCAGGAGCCCAGCCGTCCTGTGGGCGTTTGGCTCTGTGTGGAAACCCCAAAGCGTTGAAGCCCCGCGTCCGCACAGGGGAGGGGCGGGCCGCCCAGGTGCTGGGGGCCTCACGCTGCTGCTTTTCTTCCCACACAACACGTTTTGTTCATTTGTTTGTTTTCTTAAGTGATAAAGAAGCCAGGGTTCCTGTCAAGCTTGGAAAAAGTACATTTTGGGTGAAGACAGAACATTGTATAATCGATACATTCATAGACGTAATTAACTTAAGAGATGGTTCAGAAACATACAAAAACCGGAAATAAGTGGCCTTCTTTGTGCAGTAAATCCATAAATGACGGCTCGTGTGGAGGGGCAGTCGCCACAGCGCCAGCCCCGGGCAGCCCACACCAGCTTCATCCGGAGGGGCTTGGGCTCCCACGGGGCGAAGGCGCAGCGCCAGAATCCCCGAATCTCCCTCTGCCCAAGGCTCGCCAGCTCTTTCTGCAGAGACCAGACAGTAAACATTTTAGGCTGTGTGGCCGTGTGGTCTCTGTCACCACTACTCGTGGGGCAAAAGCAGCCACAGGTGACATGAAAGGAGTGGATGGGGCCGTGTCCAATAAAACTCAGTTTATGGACACTGAAATATGAATTTCACATATGAATTTTCATGTCACAAAATATTCTTTTGATTTCTCTCAACTATTTTAAAATTTAGAAGCCAACCGTAGGCCACAGGCCACAGAAACAGGCGGGAGAGTTTGCCCTCGAGCCCACCGGCCGACCCCGCTGTAGAACGCGGTTCCTTGTGCGGCCCAGTTTCTGGTGAAAGGACTTTGGCCTCCTGTAGCGTTTGGGTGGGAATAGCTGATGAAGAGCAAACCATCACGCGAGGCCGGAGCGGAGCACCGTTTCCCCACATTCTGGAGCAGGCGCGACTCAAACCCTCAGAATGTCTGTTAGCGACTGGCCTGACAAGGAGGGGCTGGGGCCGTGGGACCGGGAGCTGGTGTGACCTCTGGGGGGGTCCTCTCTCTACAGCCCCTCTGAAATCAAAGAGATCCTGCATCTGGCCACACTGAACGAGCTAGAGGTCATTCCCTTGGTGCAGACATTTGGACACATGGAGGTAAGTGGGAGGGGTGGGAGTCTCCTGGTGCCAGGCGGGGGTTTGGGGACACCCCAGGCAGGAAGCGCCGCACGGAGAGGCTCGCTCTTGCAGGCTCTGCCCTGCGGTAGCCGGAGGTCCCCCCAGCCCCCCCCGTCTGTCCCGGGTGGTCAGATCCCATGTCCCGGGTGGAGGGAGCACAGGGCCTGCTCCACCCCTCACTCCAATTCCTCACGTCCCTGGAGCATCAAGACGCAAGAACCTGCCTCCTGTTCTGCGCCCTCTTCTCACTTGGACGTGTTTCCTGTGTGATTGTCAAGTACTTTTCACGTTCGCGTCACACACACGTGGACTTGGTGGCTCTCGGGTTCTGCTTCCCTCTGACCGGTCCACCCGGCAGACCTGCTGACGGCCCCTCGCGGGGTCTTCACTCCCGCGTCACGCCCCCAGAGCCAGCCCCAGCCTTCCGGGCCTACTCCCCCTGCAGTGCTCTCTGGGTTCCCCAAGGCCACCGGTGCCCTCCGAGTCCAGCGGTAGGCTTCTCCCTTTCCTGCCTGACTCTCAGTGGCCTTGGCATCCCCGACAACACCCCCAAAGCCCACACTGTCCTGTGCCTCGGTGTCCTTTAGCCCCATGCTGTCCTATAGCTGTCACTGGACTTGGCGGGCCCCACGGCTCCGCCCGACACCCCTCCCTCCTCGCTTCACGCTCGGTCTCTGGACAGTGACGTTCCCGCCCCTGCTCCCGTCCAGGTCCCTCAGTGACCCCCAGGCCCCTTCCAGCCCCCCCCCCCCCGCGCCTGTGGTGTTTCCCGTCCCGTGGCAAGACCTGCTGCTTCTGCACCCCCGAGTCTTGGCGGGGGGCATCCAGAGTTCAGCCAGTTCTAGTCCGTGCCACTGTCACCCTCCTTGTGGCAGCGGCACCTGGCCCACTGAACACCTTCCTAACGGCTGCGCCGGCATCACTCGGCGCCCCCCGCCCCCCACTGCCCACCGCAGGCAGTCCGATGGTGTCACAGTGCCGCCCGTCACACCACACTCGGGCCGGGTCTGTGCTGGGGCAGCCGTGCAGGACCACAAAGTCAGGGGCCTCAAGCTGCAGGGTTCGTTCTTTGAAGCTCTGGAGGCCAGAAGTCCAAAGTCAAGGTGTCGGCAGGGTCGGCCCCTCCCGGAGGAAGGCGTTTACCTGTGTCCCCTCACCATGAGCGTGTCCCCTTTGCCGAAGCAGCTGTTCAAGTGTATTGCCCATTTCATTTTCTGAACTGTTGAGTTTTTAAGGTTCTTTGTGTATTCTGGACACAAGTCTTCCGTTAGATATATGATTTGCAAATATTTTCTCTTGAGTCTGTAATTCGTTTTTTCATTCTCTTAGCGTTTTTCAAAGGGTAAAAGTCTTTAATTTTGATGAAATCCAATGTATGTTTTTCTCTGACGAATTATGGTTTGGGTGCCATTTCTAAGAACTCTTGGCAGTTACCAGGTCGTGAAGATTGTTTGTTTCACTCTAAAGTTTTACACTGGCACAGTTTCCATTTAGACTAATGATCCGTTTTGAGTTCATTTTTGTGTACGGCGTGAGGTGTAAGCTGAGGTTCCCATTTCCCGTCTTTTCTTTGGAATTGGGAATCGCCTTTGCGCCTTTGTCAAAAATCCACTGACCGTCTTCACGAGTGTCTGTTCCTAGACGGTGCGGTCCCACCGACCTGCGCATCAGCTCCTTGTCACGGCCACATTGTCCGGGTTGTTACAGCTTTATTGTAAGTCTCAAAATCAAGTAGTGAGATCCCTCCTACTTTCTCCTTTTCCAGAATTGTTTTCACTATTTTAGTTCTTTTGTCTCTCCATATGTATTTCAGACTCAGTTTGTCTATGTATCTACAAGAAGTCTTGCTGGGATTTTGACTGGAATTGTGTTAAATCTGTAAATCAGTTTGGGGGAGAATCGCTTCTTTGCTATGTTGCCTTTTTCAATCCATGAACATTGATTCCACGTTATTCCCGTAAAAGTGTTTTGTTTTGTTTTTTTCTTGATGCTTTCAAGATTTCCTGTTTATTTGCCTTTTAGCAGTTCGGTTACAATGTGTCTCCCTGTGGGTTTCTTTGTATTTATTCTGCTTGGGATTCGTTGAGCTTCGTGAATCTGTAAGTTATTATTATTTTTTATCACTCTTGTGAAGTTTTGGGCTGTTTCTTCGAGCGTTTTGTCTGTCCTCTCTCCTCTCCTCTAGGATCCCCTTTGCACATAACACCGTCATGCTCGATGTCACCCTGATGTCACCTCGCACTGGGTCTCTGAGGTTCCATTCATTTTCTTCTACCTTTTCTCTCTTGTTATTCAAATTGAATAATTTCCATTGATCTTTTGTCTCAATCATTCATTTTTCTGACATTTTAAATCTGGTGCCGAGCCCACCAAATGTTCTTTTCTCATTTCTATTATTGTGAATAATTTCTTTTAATTCTGAGAATAGATTCACACTAGTTTCTTTGCAATGATTGTCTGATTAGTCCAACATCTGGGCTCACTCAGGGTCAGTTTGTTGATTGTTTTTTTCGCTGAGTCTGGGTTCCACTTTCTAGTTTATTTGCACATCTCATAACTTTGGGTTGAAAATTAGACATTTCAGATCATACGTTATAGCAAACCTGACTTTCCCCGCTGCAGGTGGTTGTGAGTGGCCTGGACTCACTCTGCAGGGCCTCTCCTGGCTGGGTGTGTCGCTGAGACTGCCACTTAGCTTCTCGTCATTTTCGTTTTCAGCCTGGCTTCCTAGGGATCATCCCTCTGACTTCACAGCTGGTGGTCAGCCAGGGTTTGGGCAGCTGTTGTGCTTGAGCCTGTAAGATCCCACCTTGTGCCTAGGGGACCGGGGGGGCGCATTCAGAGTTCAGAGAGCTCTCGCTCTGCCATGGCTACTTTCCACCCATCCCTCCCCAACCCCCACATGTGCTCCGAGTCAGCCGTGCTGCACTGTGTGACATCTCCAGCTGCTGGCAGCTCACTCTGGTGGGAATCGCAGAGTTTGGGAGAGTTTGCTGCTTTTACTGACAGTGCCCCAGGGGGCTGTGTTTACCTACAGCCAGCCCTGGGCAGGAGCGGGTGCCACCCAGGCCGAGGCTGCAGACCCTGTTCCCAGTCTCATGAACCAGCACTTCTCAATTTGCTGTCCACCGTTGGTTGACTTCCGGAGCCCTGAAAAGACGGTTTTTGACAAATGGTTCTGTTTTGTTCCTGTTTTGGGGAGAGATGTGCCAGCCTCTTCACAAACCACATGAGAAGTCTGCCCGGCCTATAATCTTGCGTGCGGACGGAGCTGGTCTACTCCGTCTTCTCGCGAGGCCCAGTTAGAACTGGAGGGAAAGGAAGGGCTGGGACAAAGCTGCTGGACACCAGGCCAGGGCTCTGCTTCCCGTCAACGCGTCCCCTCGGCTGGCCGAGGCCGTCCTCACAGTGCCACGCCTGGCCCTCAGCAGTGACTTTGAGCAGGTGTCAGAAGTTTAAACCAAGGCTCGGCCCGACACACCTCAGAGGCTGGGGCCAGGGGCACAGGCTTCCCTCGCAGGGGGTCCTGTGCTGCGGGAAGCTCAGGTGCCAGCGTCTGTCCCGTGTCACCAAGCTCCCTCCTGTCATCTCTCCGCAGTTTGTGCTGAAGCACAAGGCTCTGGCCCACCTCCGAGAAGTGGCGCTTTTCCCCAACACCCTGAACCCCCATGAGGCGGAGTCCCTGGCACTGGTTGGAGCCATGATCGACCAGGTCATGGACCTGCACCCGAAGGCCCGGTGGCTCCATGTCGGCTGCGACGAGGTGGGTGCCTTTACCGCTCCGCTCCCCAGTCCTGCAGCGGTCCCCTATCTTCGCTTTGAGGTCACCTTCCCCTACCTCGTGGCTTCTCCTCTTAAACGGAAAAATAGCCCACCTACTGAAGGATGAAGGGGTGGTCCGGGAGGAGGTGCCCAGGAAAGGCTCTCGTGCCACTAACTGTGGCCTCACCCAGGCGGACCTGCGGGCCCAGCGGACACCTGCGGCCATTCGAGGGAGGGGCCGGGGCCCCAGCGGCCGTGCTGCCCACACCCCCAGTGGCGGGACAGCCAGATGCACATCCTCGGGTGGCGGGTGCGTGTTCGCACTGGTTTCTGGTGGGAGGAAGTCTTACCCGGGGCCGTGGAACCTAGGCAGACGAGGTGGTCCCCGGGGTACCCGGCCGGGTCCCCAGCCCGCGCCCTTTCTGCTTCACTCCCTCTCAAGAAGCTCGGCCGGGCCGGGACGGTGCCCGGCCAGCCACGGGGCGTGGCTGGGCCTGAGCTAGGACACTGGTTTGCAGCCATTTCAGCCCAGGACTTGATCCTTTTCTCCAGAGGAAAGTCTTTGGCAGTAAAATACACATAACGTAAAACTTGCCGTCGTAACCGTTTTAGAGGAGGGGTCAGTGACTTCCAAGTCCTTTTACGATGTTGTGCACCGCCGCCACTGTCTAATCCAGGACCCCTCGTCCCACAGAAGGAAGCCCCCTCCCCCCCTCCCTCAGTCCCCGAAGCCCCTCGTCTCCCCACGTCTGCGGACTTGTCCCGCCGGCACGTTTTGGATGAGCTCCACGCTGTGCAGCCTTTGTGTCTGGCTTCCCGCGGAGCACGCTGTGCTTTGCTCCTGCTCGTGGCTGAGCCGTATCCAGCGTGTGGACAGACCACTTGGTGGTGGCCTCCTTCTGGTGGACACCTGGGCTGTTTCCGCCCCCGGCTCTGTGGCAGGAAGTCTTGGGTGGAAGGTCTGGTCTGGGCGATGAAGGAAGGGTCTCCTTCGCGGCCGCGTCCTCCTCACAGGCAGCTCTTGGGCGCGGCGTGTGTCCCCGGTGGGGACAGTGATGCGGAGGGAGTCCCCCCATCCTCCTTCCTCCCAGGTCTACTACCTCGGGGAGGGCGAAGCCTCAAGACGGTGGCTGCAGCAAGAGCAGAACACCAAAGCCAAGCTGTGTCTGTCCCACGTGAAGGCAGTGGCCAGCCACGTGTTGGCCCGGCACCCCGCCACGACGCCCCTGCTGTGGGACGACATGCTGCGGGGTGTCCCCGAGGACCAGCTCACAGGTCAGCTCAGCAGGAGAGACCCGTGAGTCTGCAAAGCTCTGCCGTCTGGCAGGCGTCAGGCCCGTGTTTTAGATCCACACAAAGGGCCTTTTCCCCAACGCTGCGTTAGATGCTGGCGGGACGGCAGCGAGGAGTCTGAACTGGACGCGGCCCCGAGGGCCCTGGCCATCGGAGGGGCTGAGGCGAGGGTGACAGGGTCCTGATCAGCCTTGGGGTCCCCGCCGCCTCGGCCCCACCTGGCCTCCAAGGCCTTCCCTACAGGGGCCGTGGCCGAGGTCCACACGGGGGAAGCAGCGGCCTCTCTGGCCGCAGCCCGACCTGCTTGAGGCTCTGGGGAGACACAGGGTCGGCGTGGCCTGCTCAGCCCGGCCGGAGGCGGGTCCGTGCTCCAGGGTCCACACTTCTGCCAGACCCAGGTGTCCTCACGGCAGCCACTACCCACGTGTGGCCACTGGGCTTTAATTAGAATTTAGAATTAAATCGCACCCCAGTGTGTTTCTGGTGCCCCTGAGTCAGCTTGCAGTCGGTCAGTCCCACGGCCGGCCGTGTGGCTGTGGCATCGCCACCCAAATCAGCATCGTGTTGAGTCTGTGTTAGGGCCACGTGTCCTAGAGAAGGCGGCTGCGTCCCCCTTTCCCGCGAGAGGAGCGGGGCAGGGGCGCCCGCCGGGCCGGGCACTCACGGCCTCTCTCCGCCCTCAGCGTCAGGGGTGCCGCAGCTGGCGCAGCCCGTGCTCTGGGACTACGGGGCCGACCTGGACGTGCACGGCAAGGGTCAGTACCGCGTTGCTGGGGAGACGCCAGAGCCCCCACTGCCCGGCCGGGGAAGGCAGGGCCTTGGGCCCGCGGCCCGTCAGAATCCATGACGGAGGCCCCTCCCCAGGAGCCCCGGCCGCTGGGGTACGGTCCTCAGCCTGTGGCCTGTGCCGGGCCGCACAGGATGGCCGTCCCAGTGAACGCTCGACTGCGGGCCGCCTGTGAGCGCGGCAGCTGCTCTCGCTGGCGTGAAGCCCCCCGGAGCTGGGCCCAGTGGGCGCGGGCGCCTGTCCGTTTTCCGGGGGACAGCGTGGTGTCGGGCGTTCGCGCTGTGGGACCACTGGCTGCGGCCTCCTCGGGCCCAGCCCGTCACCACTCTCGCTTTCCCGCCCAGCCCTCCTCATGGAGAAGTACCAGAAGTGCGGGTTTTCCCGGCTCTGGGCCGCCAGTGCCTTCAAGGGGGCCACGGGGGCGAGCCAGGCCCTGACGCCCACCGAGCACCACCTCAGGAACCATGTGCAGTGGCTGCAGGTGGCGGCCAGCGGGCCGGCAGACGTGCTGCAGGGCATCGTCCTGACCGGCTGGCAGAGGTGAGGCCACGCGGGCTGCCCCATCCTGCGAGGGTGGACGCAGCTCTGGTCCTGGGACCACTGCCCTTCTCGTGTGTCCGGGGGGGCCTCTGTCCTCCCTGCATTGGGCGGAAGGGAAGGGATGGTGCTCTGGGGGTATGGGGAGAACCTGGGCCCCTCACTCACAGGCAGCCCCCAGTTCGTGTGTTCGCTGGGATGGCCGTCCTGTGTGGCCCGGCACGGGGCACGGCTACCTCCTAACTCTGCACAGGGATGCTGCTGGGTGTCAGGGCCACGGAGCACACTGCCCCCCTGGCTGCCACGCCTCTCTGACCCACGTGCATGCCCACGGCCCCTTAGAGGCCACACGCTCACAGCTCACATACAGTGGGGTTGAGGACAGAGGCCAGCTCTTTAGGATTTCATACCAGTTTAAAAGTGTGGCTTGAAATGAGCCCCTGGTCCCAGCCAGATCCTGGCCGCACGTCCTACCCTGTGCTCCGGGGTGGGGGTGGGAGGCGCCCCAAGCCCGGGTACCGCTGGAGGCAGGCCCACGAGCTGAGCCCTGACCCTCGTCCTCCTTTGGAAGCTGAGTCAGAGGCCGACTCGTTAAGGATTTCAGGGGCAACCGGAGAGCCCGGAGTTGCAGGCAGGGCCTCATGGGCGTCTGGCTGGGTGGCGAGAGCTCAGCGCCCTCTCTGGACGCAGGTATGACCACTTCTCCGTGCTGTGCGAGCTGCTGCCCGTGGGGATCCCGTCCCTGGCCGTCTGTCTGCAGTCACTCCTGCACGGTACGGTCACTGCTCCTCCCAGGAGGACGGGCAGAGGGCAGCAGGTGTGGAGGCAGGCGTCCTCGGGGCTGGACCAGTCTGCATTAGTGATCAGGGAGGGTGTGCCACACCCGGGCAGCCACCCCCCGCTGCTGCCAGCCCAGGCCTCCAAGCCTAAACCCAAGACAGGCGGGGAAGGTAAGGCCCACCTGCATGTGGATTTGCCCCCAGAGACAATGAACCCCTAAAGAAATTCATCGAGGGTGGGGTGCCGAGCACCACACTGACTCCCCGATGCCCAGTGTGGGCAGGGTGGGGATGGACACAGTGCCTCGCCCCTCATGGGAGCTGCGGATCAGGGGTGCGGGCTGCTCACGGGACTGTGTGTGTGTGGACTGGCGCCATGGGGAGCTGAGCTGGCATAGACAGACGTCCCCCACAGCGAGGATGCTGGGCCGGCACCACGTCCAGTGGCCGGCACAGCATCCAGTGTCGAGAGTGGCCAAAGGACGGGTGTTGGGCTCTGTGTTCCCCGGGCTGCACGTCGGGCTGCTGAGATCCAGGGGCCAGGGAAGAACACGCGCGTGCCAGCTGGGTGCCCGCGTCTGCGGGGCTGGCCGGCCTCCTGCCTTTGGGGCTACGGCACAGCTACCTCCCTGCGCCCGCCCTGCCCGCTGCACTGACTGCGGGGCTGGCCGGCCTCCTGCCTTTGGGGCTACGGCACAGCTACCTCCCTGCGCCCGCCCTGCCCGCCACGCCGACGAGTCCTGGAGGTCTGGGCACACCTGCCTGCGTCGTGGCTCTGGGGCCTCCGTGTGAGCCCAGCTGCAACCCTGCCACTTGGCGTCCCCCCGGTGGGGTGCTGCCAGCAATGCGGCCTCCTCTGAGTTTTAGTAGAACAAACACGTTTTCACGTGTCTCATGGGAAGCAGCAGGGTCTCCTTGGGGTTGGCACACATAGGCTGGCCTGGCCAGCAGCCCTCCTGGGCCACTTTACCCACCGTCTAGGCCTAGAGGCCTGGACAGGGCAGCCAGGGCAAGGCAAGCCCGCCCTCCCTCCTCCAGGCCCTTCGACCACGCCCGTCTGTGATTGGTTTCAGGAGGCTTTGCCGAAGACGTTAAAGCAAGAGTAGAGAACTTCCTCGGGATTTCGAGCCTGAACATCACCGGTTTTACCAGGTAGCCCCCTCCCCCCGCCCTGCCCCTCCCCCCACGGTGCTGGTCTCAGCCCCTCGGTTCTCTGTGCAGTGCAGGGACTGGCTCCTTCCCTGGCAGCGACATCCTGGCCCTCGTCACGCAGGTCAGCCTCCACCTGCACAGCTCCGTGGACGAGCTACTGCAGAGGGACAGGTGAGCGGGCAGGGGAGCGAGTCCCCCAGCCCCCATGGGACAGGGAGGGGGCGGCCTGTCCCGCACCAGGAGTTTCTAGAGAGGAAACAACTTTTTACATTTTTTCCCAGTCGTTTCAAACGTGTCATTTCAAACATGTATTTTAAAACTGCACGAGGCCGCCTTGCCAGCCGCGTGGGGCCCACTCGCGTGTGGCTTTGCCCTCAGGTACGTGACCGGCTGGTTCAGCCCCTACCACCGCAGGCGGAAGCTCATCCACCCGGTCATGATCCAGCACATCCAGCCCCAGGCGCTCAGGTGCCCGTTCTGCCCGTGCGCCCGCCCAGGGTGCCTCTGCCTAGCGCCAGCAATGTAGCGATTGGTTACAGCAAGCTTTCTGGGTATCACAGCCACGGGCCCCCAGATGAAGCACATTTGCTGAGCTGGCCGTGCCCTTCCCCTTAGAGAAGCTTGGGAATTCCAGCCAGAAAGGGCGGGGGGGACCAGAATGACACGGGAGGGGTCCAGACTCACCATGGAGCCAGGTGGCCTGGGGTGGCCCGAGTCCTCCCCAGCCCCGTGGACACAGAGTCCCTGGCAGCCAGCCCTCCCCGGTGTCTCCTGGCTCGCCGCTCTGGAAGCCCCCTCGGTGCTGTCTGTCGGCTGCTGTCTGTCGGCTGCTGGCTGGTGCAGGCACGGAGCACGACCCTGCCCGCCAGTCATAAAGTGCGTCCCAGGTTCAGGTGGTGGGCGGAGACACCTGCTCACTGGTGCCCGACAGCGCGGACGGGGACTGGGCCGGAGCCGGGCTGACGCATGGGGTCGAGGCCGGGAGCCGTGCCCAGGCCCTCACCAGGCGCTCGCGGCCGTCTGGGGCCCGCAGTCTCCTGGCCAGGTGGAGCGCCCTCGCGGGGGAGCTGGAGGCCGCCCTGCAGCGCGTCTTCTACCCCGACGCCGTGGACGAGTGGCTGGAGGAGAACGTGCACCCCAGCCTGCGGCGGCTGCAACAGCTACTGCAGGACCTCGGGGAAGCGGCTGGCACTCCGTCCCCTCAGGCCAGCCCCGGCCCAGACCCCGGTCGGGAACCCTGACGGGGGCCTCCCCACGCCAGCGTCCAGCTGCGTCCAGCCTGCGGCAGCGCCCACAGTGCAGACGGTCATCGCTGGGGAGAGGAGCAGGAAACGTGGACGGACGCGCACGTGTTCACTGATCCACACAGATGTGAACGTTTTTGAAATAAAAGAGGCCAGAAGGCAGGCTGATGGCTCTAGCAGACTCGACACCCCAGCCTTGGCTATGGTCAGGCCTCCACGGGGGCCCCAGCAGCAGATCCAAAACCACCCAGTCCGCACTTGGGTGGGGGGCAAATAGACCCCTCCCCATCTTTAGACAGCACCTCAGCCCTCGGGATGAATGAATATACCAGAAGCTAATCACAGCGTTTCACACTTTTATTTTAGGAAAAAGCATTTTAGATTTAACTATTTAAAAACATAACTTCAACAGGGTTAAATGACTATGTTCCCAAACTAAAGGCTGGATGGCCTGCTGAGAAGGGAGACGACCTCTAGAAACTGCTGTCCTTAGTGTCACCCAGGCAGCCACACCCCGCGGTGTCCCTGGCTCGCTCCACTATCCCCAGGTGCAGCCTCACTTGCCCTGCTGAGGTGCTCCCAGTGCCCACTCGCTCCCACACACATGGGCCCAGCTGCTAGGTGTTCCCAGGGCTCAAGAGAAGCTCGGAACCTGGTTTCTGAGGGACAAGCCCTGGCTTAGAGGCTGGAAAAGGGGACCTGGGCTGAGCGCAGGGACCTCCAGGATGGCACGCTCCCCGTGATGGCTACAATCCCAGCTGGGTCCAACATGAGCCATCATGGTAGAGGGATCTGTGTGCCAGGGAGGCCCTGTGGGGGGCTGCAGCAGCCCAGGAGCCATAGGCAAGCACCTCACTTGTGACCTGAGGACATATGGCCAGGAGAGGGGTGCTGCCAGAAGGCTGGATGAAGCGGGGCGTGCTGGGGTCCTCAGAGCCTGGCCCAGCTGCTGGCCCCCCGCTGGAACCTGTCAGTTGGAGCCCCGCAGGGTCTGGGCTGGCACAACAGCCTTCCCAGCTCGTGCTCTACCTCAGGTACCAGCCCTGGCCCCGCCCCCTGGGGGGCCTGGGTGTCCTCGGTTCAGAGGTTTGAGTCCCATGTGGCTGGTGGGTTGTGGGACAGGTCCGTCCAGACCGGGCCGTGCTGCCAGTCACCCTACAGCCCACGCTGCCAGGGCAGGGCCCATCTGATTCCAAGAGGCCCAGACCCGGGCCTTCTCCAGACACCCTGTGCCTGCCAAGAAGCTCCAGCTGTGGCTTTGCTCAGGGCAGATCAAACAGAAGTGGCCGGGGGTCCTGCCCCCTCGCTGCCAGGGACACAGCTGGGTGACGTGGAGGGAGGCTCGCTGGCAGCCTGTCGGGCCTACAGAAGCGCCGTCAGAACTGAGGCTGCGGCTCCATGGGTGTCAGCTCTGGCTCCTGGGGCTATCGGCCTCACTGTCACTGCTCTGGGACAGCTCCCCGGGACTCTCGAGGCGATGCAGCTCCAGGAAGGAGGTGATGAGCTTGGCAATGGCTTCCACGTCACTGGGCCAAGCCGGTGCCAGGAAGAAGGACGTGTCACCACAGTAGGTGCCAGCCCCCCACGACAGCCAAAAACCCACACCAGTCTCACTCTGGACCATCTACCTTGGGCACCCCAGGGCTCCCCACCAGGACTAGCCCCTTTCCATCCTGGTCCCACCCTCACCCGGCCCCAGCCCAGACCACTGTCCTGCAGGGACCCAAGGTCCCGTCCCTTCTGGCCTCATAGGGCTCCTTATGTCCCCAAGGGGTCCCAACATCCCATAGCGGTGGTGGCAGGCCTGACCCCCAGCCTCCACCATGGCCCTCCTCTCTTGCTGACCTGCCGTACTGGGCGGTCTGCTGTGAGGGCCACCTGGCGCAGGCAGGCCTGGCTGGTCGCGTCGCCTGCCCTCAGCTTACCTGCGGTGGCCCATGATGGCGCTCTGGGTGAGCGGGTGGGAGAAGCCCGTCGCAAACCGCAGCACCACCACGTAGCCCTTCCCGAAGTACCGCACCTTCTCCTCCTCCACGTTCACG